TCTGAGACAGGGTCTCACTACGCAGTTCAGGCTGGCCTTGAGCTCACTTTGTAGCCCAGGCTGGCCTCGAACTCGCAATGATCCTCCTGCCTCAGCCTCCCGAGTGCTGGGATTACAGGCATGCGCCACCACGCCCGGTTATAGACTTTATTTCATATGAAGGGCTTAAATCTTATAAACCTTATATATGAGATGTAAAACTTAAGAACAGTGCCTGGTACATAGTAAGTGCTCAATAAATATGAACTATACTTATTAAGCTTAAACTATACTTATTAAGCTTATGAACTATACTTATTAAGCTCAATAAATATGAACTATACTTATTAAGTATTGTTAATTCTATGATCTGTTTCTTCGGTTAAATTAGAATTAGATTGTTAGATTGGAAGACTAAGTTCATGTGATTTTTATCAGGTGTCTAGCATATAGTTTGTTAAAAGTTTTTTTATTATTGAGTTAAATCACAGTGAAGCCCAAGATTGAATATCTGTAACAGAAATGTATGAAGACATTTGGTCATTTTGTTTAAAATAATTGCTAGCATCAGTAGCTGTACGGTCGTCTGTCTGCTCCTTAATTGTTTTTTAAGCACCACAGTCAGTATTAGAACTGTGTATTTTATGGTTACCTTCGTTGAAATACAATCCAGCCATCCAGAATGTAATCAAGAATATGGGATAAAACTCCACACAGTTTTGTCTGCAGGAAAAAAAAAAAAAGACATGGGTTAATTTATGAGAAACTGTACATGAATGCAGTGATTTTTATCTGGAGGTATTCACTCATAAAACATAACATAAATATGTTATGTAACATGAAAGTGATCATTGCATTAAAATGAGTCTTTCAGGCTAAGTCTCAAACACTGTTGACATCTCAGGGCAGAGCCAGTAAGAATCATTGTCCTCCACAAGAGTTACCACTAGTGGAAACGACTCAGAGGTCCTTCCTAAAAGACAATTCGGGGGCTGGGGATTTAGCTCAGCGGCACAGTGCCCGCTTGGCAAGAGCAAAGCTGTGAGTTCAATTCCTGGTACCGGAAGAAAAACAAAAAACAAAATAAAATAAAAGACAATTCGCCTATATCTAAAGCTCACTCTGTGTCTTATCTAAATAACCCAGGAGGTTACAATTCATATTAAACAGATTTCTTCTCAAAAATTCCCTCACATCGATTGCCGTCCACTTGAGTGACTCAGAACATTAAAAGATGGTCTTTAAATACTTCTGCTAAAATTTTCTGAAGGAACTGAACAAACATATTGAATTCCCATTTTATGGATGAAGAAACTGAGGACTGGAGCCCAGGCTGACTGATGCCTTGCAGAGGATCAAAAGTAGACAGTGTCCATCTCCAGGTTCTACAACCCTGATATACTGCCAGTCGAATTGCCTCTATTCACAGAGGATTTGGATGGAAACTTTGATATTATTTTGAGCAAAAAGGAATAATTTTCTGGGAACTCTAAATTAATTCCTCTACACCCACCAAAGAGGAAAAAAAGATGAAATTATAGTCATCCTTTTTCCTGACCTACACCCCCAAGTCAGCTTGGTTAGGTCAGCCAAATGCTTTCACAACCAGAAAGAATTTTAATGCATTGGTAATGAGGTCCAGATAGATGCTGGTAGAAGAACCACATCCACAGGACAGTAAGCACCTCCCACCCATCTTAAATAAGCCGGAAAGCTTGGCTACTCGAGGCTATAAGGCAACTGACCCAGAAAGAGTTGACAGTGAAGACCTAGGTCTTTCAGCCCAGGTCACCATGAATGATTTTTTTTTTCCTTAATGAAAAAAAGGAAGCACAATTACAAAGCATAGCTCCTTCCTCATCTTCCATTGTTGCACAGGAAATTGTGGTCAGGTCAGCTCAAACTCTTTAGCAGATGCCTCAGCTACACGCAACTAAGCTTCCCAAGTCATTCCACTGTCCTTAATGCTCAGCACAAAAAGGGCACAGCTACCAAACTCGGTGCTCATTTAAAGGCCACGGCCAATGCGGAGTCCTGCAGGACAGTAGAAAATTGTCACCTCACCGGCAAAAGCAACAACGAGGCTCCCCGGAGGGCTCTCTGGGGGCCAAAAGGGTGGTCATCAGTTCCCCTGAAACTCAGCAATGGAGAGAGTGAATGCAAAAATGCTGTCTTCTACCTTTTCTCACCATTGTCTTCAAATCCCAAAAAGTCACTATTGACCCAAGGAAGGTGTTTGTCTAGAACCTAACACTGATAGTCTCACAAACCAGAGCTGCCTCTTCCTACCACAGCAATGTAACCGAGACTGCCCTTTCTGTGGCACCCATCCTTGGCATGAATTTGCTTCTGATGGCTCTTTTTTCTTCACGTCTTTTTAAGTTTATAAGTGGCCACGACAGCTTAAGTGGAAAGATACCTTATAAATCTGTGTACTCAGGATAACTGCAGCTGCCTAATAAATAAACAACTTCCCAGCACTTTCTTTTCCTTGGCTACATCCACAAAACTGTCTCCCACAAAGCAAGAGAGAGGAAGAAGCCCTGCGCTATGGTTTCTATCTAGATGTCCCCCCAGAGCCGTGTGCACTATGAGTACAGGTGGGGCTTTGGGGAGTGACTAGGTTATGGGAGATGACACTTGTCACTGATGAGTCCACGGATGAGCTTACAGCTAAACGTGATGCTGGGAGGTGAGGCTTGGTCAGCGGAGGTGGGAGGGTCCATCTTCTCCCCTCCCTCTTTCTCTCTCTGCTTCCTGCCTGCCATGCCAGGAGCAATTCCTCTCTGCCCTGTCTCTCTGCCACGCCACCCTGCCTTGGAGCCAGCCGACTATGGACTGACCCTGTACAAACTGTGAATCAAAATAAACCTTTCCTCCTTTAAATTGTGGGTGCTGGGTATTGTGTCTCAGTGACAAGAAAGTAACTAAGACGCTCAGCCTGCCAACGTAGCAACTTAGCAAGACCCGGTCTCAAACTTTTAAAAATTGAAAAATTGTTAAGAGGGGCTAGGGATGTGACTCGGTGCAAAGACCCTGGCTCCAATCCTGAGTATTACAAAAAGAGAAAGAATCACACAGGCACAGGGGGTGGGCGAGGGGAGAGAGAGATTAATAAAAGAATGTGCTAATCTTTCTACGTGCACTGGAATTTCACGATCCTTTGGGGGCCTTAACAATTGCCCCCATCATTTACCAGGCTTTGTAATGTACCCGAATTACTTCAAATGTCCCTTGCCTGGAAGAAGAAGCCCTTTGGGAAGACTCCAGAAGCAAGGGTTGCCACCTCAGAGTACAATAGAGGAGAACTGAGGACCCTCACCCCACAGCTCCCTGCCGCAGACTCCAGGGCCGCGGGCTGCCACCCAACCATGGAAAACACTCCGGAACCTGGGCCAAGGGCCGCACACAGAAGCTTCTGAGCAGGCCTGGGGTGCAGCCCCCACACAACTGCTTGCAGCCGAGCTGTGTCCCTGGAACGTTCCAGAAAGCTGGAGAAGGGGGTGCTGAGATGCTGCTGGGTGAGCAGAGGGCGATTGTAAGCCAGTGCCTCCGAGGCCCGGATGTGCCTGTAACTCCATTTGCTCTCAGAGTGGGCAAAGCCTGGAGGACTGGGGCAGGTTGGCACCCTGACCCTACACCTCTCCGTCTGCTCCTTCTTTACGGCGCCGAACACACCCTGACCTCCAAGCCCGATGTGCGTGTCGTACTTCCCTTGTGGCCCCTCTTCGTGGACCTGCCCCACGCCTCCATCCCTCTGAAATGTGGCTTTGTCCGTTTCTCACTATCAACCTTCAGAGACTGAAAAGATTCTTCTGTCCACCAGCCGAGAACCTGCTATTCGCTAACAGTCCTCTCTACTGCCTACTGGCTAGAGCCGGGCGTCCCATCACCTCCTCTACCGTGAAGTCAAGCCCTTCCACCCACAGTGACATTTGCCTATGACAAAGAAGGAGCCCTTCCAGGCCTCCCCACATGGCAAAGGTGATGCACCCCACAGTAACTGGATCTCTGGGAGCTGACCCCAGACATACTTAACTCCAGGAGACCAAATTCCAACACCCCCCTGACAGCCCTACCCGAAGCTAATTACAATATCACGGACAGGAAACCAGCATGGAAATAAGCCCCCTTCTAGTCATGGAGGCAGATAGACTTCACACTCCCGGTGAGGGGCTCCTACAGAAAATCTCCCGGATGGACAGCAGCAGCTGGCAGCAGGCATCTGTCAACCACCCTCGTGTGGGAACAGAGGGTACAGCTGATTATGACCGCTGACAGGCTGTCCCCTCCCCTGTACACCCACACTGGGGGAAATGGACCAGGTCTACTCACGCGCTGCTCACGATAATCCTGAGCTCTCTGGACATTTTAGTTCCCAGAGAAAGACGGGGGAAGCTTCTCCTTCATTCTATGCTGATGTCGCCATGGGCCTCACAGCTTGTGCTAGAAGGACGGGAGGGCGAAGCAGCGTCCTGGTTGGCGAGGGACTGGGCAGGTTTTCAGAGCATAAGTCTTTAAGTTTTACGAGGACAACTCCAGGTAAATTGTCTTAGTTTGTCTGGCACTGAGCAATTTTTAGGGACAGGGAGATTCAAGCGCTAAAACAGAGAAGGTCTCATACAAAAACAGAAAGAGTTGGTCACCCTGAGGGAGAAACTGGCCCTGAGCAGTGAAACAGTTGCTGGTGCCCCCCTCATCCACCCCAACACCACCCTAAGAGGTCAGGACACGAGGCCATGCTGACCCCCCGGGTCAGGGAGGGTGCCCCCAACTAAGGACCATTGGGCCTTGCCGCCGTCATTACGAAGACTACAAAGTTTCTATCACTATGGGAAGAGAAAAGCATCACATTGTGGCTTGGAGACTAGCGCCTACTAGTCTCCGAACGTTTCTGACTGAGAGTCCTCACAGTTCCACCACCTCATGAAAATACACACTTGGGAAGAGAAAAGCGTCACATTGTGGCTTGGAGACTAGCGCCTACTAGTCTCCGAACGTTTCTGACTGAGAGTCCTCACAGTTCCACCGCCTCATGAAAATACACACTTGCCCTCCTGTGGCCAAGGCGGCGAGCTGACGGGGCCTACATTTCCCCACCTCCTCAGGCATGGGTGGAGCTACTCTGGCCTACAGAAAGCGAGGGAAAACAGCTGGACATAGAGGTGCATGCCTGTAATGCCAGAACTCTGGGAGGCTGAGGCAGCAGAACTGCAAGTTCTAGTTCAGTCTGGACAACTTAGCAACTTCGTGAGACCCTGTGTCAAAATAAAAAGATAAAAAGGCTGGGGCCATAGCTCAGTGCAAAGGCCCTGGGTTCAATTCCCTACCACCAAAACAGAGAGGGTGGGGGATCGAAGGAAATTAAATACTACTTCTAGGCAAAATAGTTAAGTGGTTATTGTGCCAAATTCCCTTTCTGCACCCACTGGCTGAAGGGAGAAGACTCTGAGGGTGAGCGGGAGCAGAACTGAAAGACAGAAGGAGCTGGGCCTCCGTGATCTGTGGACAGTCACCCCCAGACACTCCCATAGGGGACTGGATGAGAGCAAGGCCTGAGCTTCCCTTGCGTTGAACCACTGAGAATCTGGGACAGGGCCTGGGAAAGAATATTGCATGCATTATAAAACTTAGGCAATAAGAAACTATCTTGTAGACAACAATATGTAAAACAACCATCACTGATAATTTCCCGCCACTTTGTCTGTAATTCGGTAAGCCCC